CACCACCATCACCATCACCATCATCACCATCATCACCACCATCACTATCATCACCACCATCATCGTCATCACCACCATCACTATCATCACCACCATCACCATCACCACCATCATCACCATCATTACCATCATCACCATCATTACCATCACCATCATCACACCATCATCACCACCATCACCATCACCACCATCATCACCACCACCACCATCACCATCACCACTATCATCAGCATCTTCATCATCATCATCACTACCATCATCATCACGCCATCATCATCACCATCATCACTGATGTCAGATCAAATGCCAGGGGAAGCCTGGCTGCAGCTCTGCTGGGCAGCCACTGAGGTTCTGGAACTTGAGGGAGGAGAGGAGCCCTTCTCAGCTGACCACAGCCCAGGCGTGGAGGAAAGGAAGGTGCCAGGCCAGGTGGAGGTGGCCAGGTGGGTGCCCAGAAGTGCAGCCCAGCCGGCTGGATTTCTCAGGCCAACTCTGAAGTCAACAAGGATTCGGGGTTTTGAGTGTCATGGGGGGCTGGGCACCTCTGGCTCCAATGGGGGTGGCAGGGGGCCCAGGCAGCCCAACCCCCAGGGAACCATGGAGCCGCTGGTGGTCTCTGTGACTCCTTTGGTGATCAATAATGCCTTCTGCATTCAGCCCCCACAGAAAGGCTCCCAGGGGGCTGTCCCCAGGGACAGGCCTTTGACACCTTCCTGGACACAGGCTGCAGTAGTTGGCTTTTGAGCATGGCCCTAAGACAGCAATTTGCCCCTTCATTATGAGCTTGATGGATGAGCGCGGCCGGGACAGCCGTCCTTTTGGAGGAGGAGCAGCTCCTGGGCCACCCGAGGCTGGAGAAAGGCCGCTGACGTGCATGACAAAATGTTTTCTTACCGCCTGCTGCCGGTGACAGCCCCTCAAAGGAAACGCAGTCACTGCAGAAGCGATTCACACTCCATCTTTTTGTGGTGCTGAGGTCAGCTTTCATTTGGCGGTTGAAGAAAGAGGCATCGGCTCCTTGTTGTCTCTGGGACTGCCGTCCCCGTGGGCCACCAGCCCCCCGGCCAGCGCACATGAGACCACTCTTCATTTTGATGAGATTTCAGAAAGCCCTGGCTTCGGCCGGGGGACCACCACCTCGCCCGGGGCCCACGCCCAGGGCCGGGGTTAGAGCCACCTTCACTGGCTGTGCGGACGGCTCCAGTAGAAAGGAAGGGGCTCCTGCCATCTCAGCCGTAATCCGAGACAGCGCAGGTCCCTGCAGCGCCCTGTACCCACCCAGAGTCATCAAGCAATGAATCGGGTCATCAGTCTGTTTGCGTCTTGCTCCCGCTAAAACGTTACCTCCACGAGCGCTGTTCTTATTGGGTATCTGAGTCCAGCCTGGGGATGACAGATCTAGGACAGCCCCGCCTTGGGTTCGCTTTGCAGGGAGAATGGGATCAGATGTGCAAAGACTCCCTTCCCGGTCCCAATGCAACTACGTCCTGATCTCCATTATGGGGGTGGGCGCACAACTCTACACACTTGTCAAATCCCACAGAACTGGACGCCACAAAGTGAATTTTACTGTGTGTGAATTTAAAGAATGGCCACCTCTACAGGCAGAGGGGCCGCAGAGATGGAAGCTAGGCTTCTTTGAATATACCTCCTGTGGTAGACGGGATAACGGCCCCCCAAGATGCCCGTGTCCTGATCCCCAGAACCTGTGACTACGTGACCTTATGGGGCAAAAGGATCCTGATATGGGGAGATTGTCCCGGATTAGCCAGTGGGGCCAATGTCATCACAGGGTCGTTGTAAGAGTGGGCAGGAGGGTCAGAATGAGGGGAGCTGTGACGACAGAGCAGAGGCTGCAGTGATGCGGGGAAGGGGCAGCGAACCGAGGATGCAGGTGGCCTCTGGAAGGAAACAGATTCTCCCCTAGAACCTCCCGGAGGAACCAGCCCTGCAGACACCTTGGTTTTAGGACCTCTGCTCTCTAGAACTGTGAGAGAATAAATCTGTGTTGTTTTAAGCCACTGAGTTTGTGGTCATTGGTTACGACAGCTGTAGGAAACTTACACGACCTTGTTTGGTAAATCTGACTTTGGAACTAAGTAAATATTTCCTGTAGTTAATAAAACCCAGATTGAATTACAGAAGGAATCCCGAAAAGTGAAAATTAAAGTGAAAAAGCAAAGGTGACCACAGGCACCAGCTGAGCCTATGGCGGGCGCCTGCTGCAGGCCTGTGCATAGCCAGCCCCAGTGCTGAGCCCTCCTTCAGCAAGCAGGAGGCTCTGAGCGGAAAAGGGACCAGGCCTCCGATGGGCCGAGATGCTGCAGAGCTGCCCCCTGGACCCACCCCTCAACGTACTCACGTATGAGGAAACAGGCAGGACGGGAGTGTGAGCCCACCCACTGGCTGCCTGTGCCCCTCCACCCCAAGAAGAGGATCCTAAAACCCATTGGAGCAGAAAGCAGCCCCATGCCCGAGTCCAGGCAGCTCGGCTGGCTTTTGCAGACTTGATCACAAATGCCCCTTCTCTGGGCTGAGACCCCTTCTCACTTGAGGGTCTTCTGGGGCAGCTGTGACCTGCTGTGTGGTGGGGGTCTCCCAGAGGGCTCCTAAGCCAGGCTCCCAGCTCTAATCCTCCAGCTCCAGCACCTCCCAGAGCAGACCACTCACTCCACGGGTCTTTATTCAGCCGTGGCCACGCTCCACACCCCATCACCTGTGAGCAGGGCAGACTGAGCTCGTGGGCTTGTCCTAGAGGGGACACGGATGACGTGTCTGGTGTGATCAGTGCAAGGTGCAGGCAGTGATGGGGGCTCGCCGTTCTCGCTAGGGTGGTGGGGAAACTTCTCTGAGGGAGTGATCAGGTGTGATACTGGGCGGGTTCCGCCTGTCTCTGAGTTTCTTCACCTGTGCACGGGGATAATGCATGCTGTATCATAAAGTTGCCACGAGCGTGAAATGAGATACAGCACGAGACCCTCAGCTAGCCGGGGACACCGTAAAGCCTCAATAAAGAGGAGCCACTATTACTGTTGCTGCTGTTATTGTTCTTTAGACTCGGATCATTCCAGACAGAAGTCTTTCCAATGATTAATATCATTTATTGATCATTCATTTCACAAATACTTACAGAGCAGTGTGTTCTCAGGACCATCTCTGCCCAGTGCCAGAGGCACTGGGTTCTGTTCCTGTATTTTTCCTGCAACTTGTTTTCTCCCTTCTGGCAGGTCACTTGATCCCTGTTGGTGTCCTCCATCCTATGGCAGGCTGGACCAGATGAGTGCTTCATGAACTGCCTCTCTCTGAGCCCTAAGGCTCGGCTGGAGGATCTGGTCTTGGAGTGGGAGTGGCTAAGGACTGTATCAGTTAGTTACTGCTGCATAACAAACCACCCAAAGCCCAGCGGCTTCCTGTGATAACATTGTTTCAGTTTGTGAGCCCATGGATCCGCTGGGCAGTTCTGCTGATCTGGACCAGGCTCCAGTGGTCTTGGCTGGACTCTTTCATGTGTCTGCAGTCAGCTGGTGGGCGGGCTGGGGGCTGGCTGACCTAGGATGGCCTCACTCCCAGGTCTGATGGTTGGCTGGCTATGAGCTGGGGTGACAGGGGTGATGGGGCCACATGCCTCTCATCCTCCAGCAGGCTAGCCCCGGCTTGTTCACACGGCAGTGGTGGGGTTCTCTTGAGGCCTGGGCTCAGAACTG